TGTAGTGTTTTAAGCACAAGAGGTTGTGAGGTGCTGCAGATCGGACGTATGCTTTCAGGGAGCGGGAAGCGGGGAGCGCCTTGCACGGAGGAGTGAGAGCACTGTTGGCTGTGAAGTCAGTGTGCAAAGAAGGGCTGGAGCACAGTGCGTGTGGGATGCTCCATGAGACTGGCCAGGGTGCCACACTTGTAGCTGGCCATGTGGGATTCAGCTGTTCCAGCCACCGTGCCACCAGCTGGCCCATCTTAGAGATGTAGAGGCACTGTAGACCCGCTGACACTCCCACAGACAGGATGTGAGTGTGCCGTTTTGATGGTCCCCTCAGGAGCACTGAGTGCTGTTATTTCTCTTTGACCTCTGACAGGAAGGAACCGCTTCTGGTAATTTTACTTTATATTTTTATTACTTACATGATTTTTGAGGAATGCTAGCTGACACATTTAAGGTTTTTAAATTTTTTTGAGAGAGAGAGTTTTGCTATAGGGCATGTGTGCTCACGGGAGAGAAAGAGACAGAAAGCAAGACATCAGCTCCCAGAGGCACTGGCCATACCGCAGTCCCCTCCTCTCAACTCTCTCTTCAGGATTTGGGGCACACACGCACAAGCACCAGGCCAGAGTTTTAAGCCACTGGGTCTGGGACTTGAACTTCACTACATGCAAGTCCAGCGATGTAACCATTACTCCATCTGCTGATCCCACATTTAAGTACTTGTAAGGTTTGCTCTTTACTGTTTTATTCTGCTCACAGCATTTCGTCATATGTGCATTCCGAGTGTTGCATAGTGAGTCATTTGTACAGTCACTGGGGTCCACTGAGCGTCTGCCGTGTGTGGGCGATTGCCCCAGGGAGCTCACGGCCCAGTGAGGCCTGTGCTGCGCTTTCTCCCAGTGTTAGCCACACGGAGGGCTTCCGTGCTTAGACATCTTAGAGGTCTCCTAAATTGCCTCTTTATTTTTACAAATTAACGTTAAGGACCTCCTTCATTATAAGAGGACCAAAGTAGGAATGGTTTCTGTGCTCATTGATGGCCTAGATTCTTTACAGAATATTGCTACATAGATATAAAAGTATCTACTTTGTATAAATTATACGTGAGCATTTTTAGCAAGGTATGTGGGATTAGACATAGTGTGACGTAGTTTCATTCGCCTTGACACCGCCATACGTAGAGTGCTAAACGGTAGAATCCTTATCAGCGTATTTTATATAAAAACTCATTGGAATTATTTCAACTATATTGACAGGGAGGAAAGACTTTAGAACAAACAAAAATAGTCCTGTGCTTTTTGAGAGATCTCAAGTTCACTCCCAAATGACATTTCTCTCAGCAGCTGGTGCACCCCTAAGTGTTCTCGCCAGCGCAGAGCTTGTGAGCCACGCTCTGCGATTCCAGGATCCCAGGACTCGAAGGCTTCAGGTGCTTTTGTCTCAACTTGTTTTGAAATGCGGCTAGCAAGGTTATCCCTATTAACCATGGCTAGTAAGCAGTACTCCAGTCTGTTTCTAAATCAACTCTTAAATACCCTGCTATTTTAAAGATGTTTTATCATTTGCCAGGTGGAGGAGTCTTTGCCCACCATTTTTCAAGTGTTCGTGACAGCCAGCATTCGTCTAACCTGAAAAGTAATTAGTGTTTCTGTTGTATCTAGAATGGAGAAGATGAGAAGTGTGTTTATTTTATAGTAAAACGTTTCACTAGACTGAGATGATCCATTCTCTGTAAGGCCTGCCAGACTCTGGGGTGCAGAGCAGTAAAGTGTAGTTTGAATACTTAACAAATAAATATGAATTATTATATTATTTTAATACTGCAAGCAAGGCTTTTAAGTTTCCTTTGATTGTTGTAATATGAGAAAATAGAGTAGCAATATGGGTTAAAAATGCCCAGGACACTGCCTTATAGAGTGCTAGGGAGTAGATTTGTTGTGAGGGTTGCATTTGATGGAAAGTAAGCGTTCAGAACTGTGCCAGCATGGAGGAACACACTCACGTTAATACATCCTAAAGGGTGTGTGAGCTCTTTGTTGATCAGTCATGTTTTGCATATAATATGACAGCCTTCTCAGACCGATCGTTTCAGATTCATTCCAGATACCTGATCTGACCTAGAACTTATTTGTAAACTTCAAATCAATACTTACCGAGCTTTTTTTAAAGTTAGTTAATTTACTTATTTATTTGTTCTATGGGCAAGCAAGTGAAAGAGAGACACAGACAGTTTGCTTGGTGTGTATTTCAAACCACTGGGGCCAGTATTCGAACTGCAGTTGGCCATGTGGGATCCAGCTTCCTCAACCACTAGGCTATGGGGCCAGACCAGCAAGACTTTTATGCTATTTAATGCCATCTTGTTGGCATTTCTGTGCCTTTTTTTCTTTTCTTTTTTTTTTTTTTTCGTTTTTAGCTTTTGGTGATGTCACTCTTTAAACTGGCACCTAGGTGTAGTGCTGAAGTACTGTGTAGTGTTTTAAGCACAAGAGGTTGTGAGGTGCTGCAGATCGGACGTATGCTTTCAGGGAGCGGGAAGCGGGGAGCGCCTTGCACGGAGGAGTGAGAGCACTGTTGGCTGTGAAGTCAGTGTGCAAAGAAGGGCTGGAGCACAGTGCGTGTGGGATGCTCCATGAGACTGGCCAGGGTGCCACATAAGGGATTCGACCCTTCTGTTAAGTCACTAAATTGTTTTAAGCGGGGAAAGTGATACTCATTATTTTGCGAAGAGCACTTTGACTGCAGCGAGAGGGTTGGATTGAGGGTAGCAGCCTTTGTATCCTCAGCACCATCTTCATCACAGCAGCAGACCCGCGCTGACCATGCTGCAGGGACACAGTCGTCCCGTCTTGAACTTTCCCAGTGGCGCTGTGAAGGAGGCGTCCTTGGGCTTCCTGTTGGACAGGGAGGAGTTCACTAGCGGTAAATGCCTCACCTCGTGTAACATGTCCAGTAATTAGGGAGCCAGATGTGTTGCCAAGGTAACGCCCTAGAACACAGTGCTTGGCACGGATGTGCTCAGTCAGGTTTGCTTATACTTGCAGCCCACTCTTTTTCCCTGAGTTCAATACTCTTTTTTTCTTTTTTCTTTTTTTTTTTCGGAGAGATTTTTACTGTAGGGCGCGTGCGCTCGCCAGACAGACAGAGAGAGACATAGAGACAGAAAGCGAGAAATCACCCCCCAGGGGGGATGGTCACGCCGCAATCCCTTCTCCTCCATTCTCCTCTCGGGATCTTGGGCACGCACGCACACGCGCCCGGCGTGAGTTTTAAGCCACCGGGTCCGGGACACGAACCGCGGTCGACTACGTGGGAGTCCAGCGACATAGCCATTACGCTAACTGCTGGTTCCCAGTTCAATACTCTTTTAAAGAGCTATTTAAAACCAAAATTAAAATACGAGAAGGTGCTACGTGAAGGCCCCTCTCTCCCCTCGACTGCCCTGAATTCTCTTCTGGATCCAAGATACCTTACTGATCTGAGTTTGTCTTAAGTCACCAGGTGCCCTAGTGCTTTAAAGTGTCACCTGTCACCAGGTAGAACTGGTGGATGCAGAATGGACAGGGAAGTCCACACTGTTTCTCTAGTGTGAAAAGACTCCACAGCTCTGCTTGTGACCACGCCATTGCGAAGGAAGAGAGCCTCTTCCTGTGCATGAGGCAGACAGCCACGCTCACTTTGTTTTTGTTGTCTGTCGTGGGTGGATTTCCAGGGTGCGAGGTGTTATGCTAGGACGCAGTCTCAGTGCTCTGGAAGACGTGCATTTTCTCCTTCACCTCCCTGCCCGGGAAGTCATGTGGCATATCCCTTGTTATGAGAAAGCGCAGCTATCTTGAGATCAAGTTTTTTCCAGGAAATTAACATGGGTGCTCTTTAACCTCCTGTCTCCTGCTATCTGCAGGAGACATATCTCAGACACTACCTGTCGCATGGTGGACTCGAATGTTAGTTGGTGTTTAGTATTGACTCTAAGTAAGCCGGAAATATTAGTAGTAAAGAAGTTAATACTCATCTACCTAGAAAGCTATAATCTAGAATGCCGTCTGTTAGTTATCCAGGTAGATATTTTCCTGTATTAGGAAGTGAGAATAAAGATGGCTCTGTGGCCTGGTGGTTAAGGCTGCTGATCCCACGTTATCAACCACGCAGTTCAAGTCCTGGACCTGGTAGGTTGGCAAACACACAAGGCACGCGTGTGTGTGTGCCCAAAATACCAAAGGGACGGAGAAATGGGAGAGAAGAGACTGTGGGATGGGGAACGTGGTGGAGGGAGGGTGTTTTTTCCTCTCATTCTCTGTCTCTAGTGAGTGTACATGTCCTATAGCCAAAAGAAAACAACAACAAAAGAAAAGAAGTGAGAGTAAAAGTTGGATTTTTAAATTACGAATTCAAATGAGAAATATTTGCATACTCAGGACCAGTGGTGGTGTGGTGGTTAAGGTGTTGGACACTCCAACATGGCCGACCACAGTTTGAATCCTGGACCTGATAGTTTGCTTTCTCACTTTCTCTCTCTCTCTGTAGTCAAACTAAAAATAAATGAATGAATAAATAAAGTTAAATGAATAATTCTAAAAGAGGGACCAGCAGTTGGAGAATGTCATTGGGCCCCCTGCAGTTGGCCCCAGTTCGAGTCCTGGACCCAGTGGCTTAAACTCATGTTGGGCGTGTGCACGTGCGTGCCCAAGATCCCGAGAGGAGAATGGAGGAGAAGGGATTGCGGTGTGACCATCCCCCCTGGGGGGTGATTTCTCGCTTTCTGTCTCTCTGGCGAGCACTTGCGCCCTGTAGCAAAAACCTCTCCCCCAAAAAATATTCTAAAAGAAATTGCTCAGAAGAAATAATTGAGTACTCTCAATCTGTGACCCAGAAAGAACGGTGTACAGGAGACGTGCGTCTTGGTTTACTTACGTGTTTGGTAACTTTGGTGTTTAGCACTGAAGCTTTCTGTCTCCGAGCAGCGTGAGTTGGAGGGAAGGCGTGCTCACCCCGCCTCTTGTGTTCCACAGGGTCATCGAGCAGCTCGGCGGGAAGCAGCTGGTCATGAACCACATGCACCACGAGGACCAGCAGGTCCGCTACAACGCCCTGCTGGCCGTGCAGAAGCTCATGGTGCACAACTGGTACGTCGCGGCTTCGCGCACCGCGCCCTGGTCTCACGTTCTTGTTACCCATTACCAACACTCTCGGGGGAACACTCTGGCGATGGTTGTTTTTATAATTTATTAGTAATTTTGGTTAAAAATCTAGAAGCAGGTTTTACTCATTCAGAGCAATGAGCTAATTTTAAAGAGATGAACTGCATTAATGACCTCAGAAAGAGTATATTGAGAGAGGAGGTGTCAGAAATAACTCCAAAGTCAGAGAAAGGACGTTTGTCACATAGGGAGTCTGTCTCCTTTGGAGCTGAAGAGGGTGCATTTCGACTCCTAATTCCTTCCAAGGCCCTGCACTTTTTCCAGATTTAACTATTCAGCATCTGGTTAACCTGAACAGACTTCTCCAGTTCACATAAAAACACGAAAAGCTGACAGACCGATCAGTCAGATTCAGCTTTCACATTTCGTTCATTATACTGGCTTTTCGGAAAAGTCATGACACATTTTTTCATAGACAAACAGAAAAATACAGAATGACTTTTCCGATGACCCAGTAACTTTTTGCTTTTGAAGTTATTCAGTGTCACACTTTTCTCACTCGTTTTTATTTTTGAGATCAAAATGACTGACCCTGCACTCACTTATGTAAGACGAACGAAGGGGAAGCTGCGGAGACATAACGGGGAGCCCTTTGCGGACTTGATGGCACCACCGAGGACCCCTCTGGCGTGGCTGCTTGTGGCTGTGGTTGGCTGCTCTGTGCTTTCAGCCCTTTTCCGATGGGGAGATGCCCGTCTGTTACTCAGCCCTTGGGAGAGTGCTCTAGGGACTGGACTGCTTTTGTTAAAGCCCAAGGAACAATATACATTGCCTGTGCCTGACAAGCAGTGCTTCTAAAAGAAGACGCGGCGCGTCAGAACGGGTGCACATGTCGATTCAGGCACACGCAGCGGGGCAGGCCAGCCGGGTGCCGCCGTGGCAGCCTGTTTAGATACGCTGGTCCTCCTCTGGCACTCTTCTGACATGTGTGCCCTTTTTACCGCTTTTGAGCACCTCCTTTGTCCCCTGATAGGTTCGGCGTGGGACTGCAGATGTGATGGTACTGGGTCATCTTGACCTAGGATGACTAGGGAGGGCCTCTCAAAGGAGGCCAAAGCAGTGAGGCTGAGACGGTGCTGATGAGGAACCAGCCATCCAGTGCCGTTCCTGGGGCTAACGTGTTCAAGGAAACGAGGCAGGAGAAGGCCCTGAAGCAGGAGTGGGCTTCGCTCATGAAAGCCGTGTGTGGAAACATGATTTTGATTGTGGCACTTGGGGTAGTGCTGCTACGAGCACCCAGTGGGCAGAGACCAGGCGTGCTGGTGAGCATCGTGTGGTCTGCTGATCGCCCCCGCTGTGAATAACTGTCTGGCCCTCGTGCCAGGGCCCAGGTTGAGGGACTCAAAGGGTGGTGAAAGTGCCAGAGTGGGAAAGTTTGGTTGAGGAAAGGCAGGCAGCACCTGATCTGCAGGGTCTGCAAGGCTAGCATTTGACTCTCAAATTGTTTTATGTAACTTTTTCTTTTAAAATTTACATTTAATCATTATATATCTCTATAGCATATATATGGTTTTTCATTTTTTCTTTCAAGGTTTTTGCCATAGGGTGTGTGTGCTTGCCGGAGAGAGAGACGTAGCGAGAGGAAAAGTGAGAAATCACTCCCTACGGGGAATGGCCATGCTGCAGTTCCTTCTCTATTCTCCTCCTGGATTTTGGACATGCACGATGCACATGTGCCCAGTGTGATTTTCAGGCACCAGGTCTGGGACTCAAAAAGCAGTAGACCATGTGGGAGTCCAGTGCCTTAACCACTGTGCCACCTGCTGTGCCCAGTAGGGTTTTTCAAAGCATGCATGTGCTGCAAATCCATCAAGTTAAGGTTTTTACCATGTAAGTCCTCCACCGATAACTTTTCAGTCTTGTCTTTTTGTAAGATGGATTGAAAGCCATCGAAAGGTTTTCTAGAGGAGGAATGACGGTCTGATTAGTGTTTTAAAAAGATCTCTCTGGCTACTCTGAAATGGCTTGTATAGGGGTAGTGTGAAGCAAGAGGAGCACTTCGGTGGCCTCTCATGGTGGGCTAGGTAGCTAGGCAGGGGCCGGGGCTGGATGGTAGATTTCAGAGGCTGTTCTGGCAGTGCTTGATGGGCTGAGAACTTCTCTCTTTCTTTCTTTCTTTCTTTCTTTGAAATCTTCAAATCCTCAGTGTAAAAAGGGGACTCTAAAAATAGTTTTTAATGTATTTTTTAAGTGTGGGAGAGAAAAACCTCCAGTTTGTCAGTAAAACGTAGAATACTTCACTAAATTTCTCTCTTCGTTTCACTTTACCCCAGGCTAGATTTTTTTTATCCTTAATAAATTATTTAAAATTCGATATCTCTTAGGAAGTTTATGCCTTTCATGGAATTAAAGAATGATGGCATTCAATAGAGTTTTGGCTGTTGGAACGAGTGAGCTTATATTTGCGAGATATTTGTCTAAAGTTTCTGTGAAAGTTTTATTTTTCCTTTGTTGAAATTAGAGTAGCTGAAATGTAATTCTTGTCTTCTTAATGAAAAGCCATTTCATTTTAGTAGTTCTTTTAAAGAGTTTGTTGGTGAGTTTAGGATTTTCCTTAAATTTTTTTTTTTTTTTTGAGAGGTTTTTGCTATAGGGTGTGTGTACTCGCCAGACAGACAGAGAAAGTCAGAGAGACAGAAAGCGAGAAATCACCCCCCAGGGGGGCTGGCCACGCCACAATCCCTTCTCCTCCATTCTCCTCTCGGGATCTTGGGCACGCACGCACATGCGCCCGGTGTGAGTTTTAAGCCACCGGGTCCGGGACGCAAACCACGGTCGACTACATGGGAGTCCAGCGACATAGCCATTAATGCTAACTGCTGGTCCCCTTTAGTTAATTTTTAATGTCTGTGTCTCATACAAAGAAAAAACACGTATGAAACAGGTTTTCTTTTCTCCAACGGGGAAAACATTTTGGTTGAGAATTGTTTATACATAATCATGTGTTAAAGATGAAATATTTAGATTTGAGTTTTTTTCTTGAATTCAGAAATGGCTTAGTCTCATAGTACATTTTATCCATATTTGATTACAAAAAGAAGAGCGAATATCAGTATAGACAGAAACTGGTTCGTTTGCTCATTATCTTTGTCTAGCTAATGAGAGAACATCTTTTTCTCTCCCAGTCTCTAATTATGTGCCAAGCTATTCTAACTTTAATGTTTTAATTGTGATAAGTGTCCTTCACATGAGCGGAGAAGCTCAGTGTCAGTGTTTTTCTATTTCTTCTTCATAAGGAAAGTTGAATTTGAAGGGATATTAGATTCAAATGTGACCTCCATGTTGTTGTGACTTACAGATCTCTATCCTCTGCCTGCCAGAGAATGAAAATCACTCAAGTTATAGCAGTTTCTTTCAGTACCACATTAACAGGAGATTAAATAAAGTACTATGAGGGAAGTGAATATTCTGCAAAGGCTATTCCAAAATGTAGAAGGGGTTTGGATCAGTATCTTCATGCAGGTTACCTAGCTGTCTTTATTAAACCAGGCAGGTGAAGACTGCATTACTGCTTACCTAAACTAGAAGCTTTTTTACTCAAAATGTGCTATTGTGTTCTAAAAATATGGAATAATCGAGTCTTACAAAGTTCTTTTGGAGTTGATGACTTTTATGTCAGGCAGAAAACGAAAACATAGTTAACTACACTGTCTCTAAGCATGTTTGTTTTGATTTAAATCAAAATGAGTTTTTATAAATGGTGTATTTTAGTACTCCACTAAAACTACCATTTTAGTGAGTAAAATTGTTGAAAATAATGAAAATATAATCATGGGCTCAGCTGCGGTAGTGTGCCCTGGTTGACGCCACAAGGGAGGCCTGGATTCAGTTCACCTAAAAGCCGGGCGGGGTGGCATGTGCTTCTAGTTCCAGCTACTTGGGAGGCTGAGGCAGGAGGTTGGTGCATGAGCATGTCTGAACACACACGCAACACTCCCTCTCTCCAGAGAGTTTTAAAAAGGTCATAGAAAAAGCTATACGTAGGTTTCAGAATGTTTTGCACCAAAATAAGCTTGTACTTTAATTCTCTTTTCCATGAGAAAAGATTATTTCTATTACCCTGATTCACAGTCATATGTACATGCATACACACACACAACCTCATCACACATGAAAGAGAAGTTAAGTTCTGTCTGACTACTGGTGGCAGCGACTTCCCTGGGTGCTGTCCAGAGCTGCTGTCTGCTCCTCGGCCATGCATTCACATTTCCAGCTCACATTTCTTTGACTTTTTTACCTTGATCGATTTTTAGATGTTTGATTATTCTTCAGGTTTCCATATATTAGGCCGAATTATAATTTTGACTATTATAAAGTTAACATTTGTGTTTTTCTTCAGGAAACTTAGAAAACAGGGATAACTCTTAAAGATCTTGGTGTAGGCAAAGACTTCTTAAAGAAGACTCCCAAAGCATGGACAGTAGTCCCAAAAATAGCCAAGTGGGACTACATGAGGCTTACCATGCTTCTGGACAGCAAAAGAAATAATAGCTAGAGTGAAGCGAGAACCCTCAGAGTGGCAGAATATATTTGCAAACTAACCTCAAATGAGGGACTGATAACCAGAATATACAGGGAACTCAAAGAGCTTATATTAAAAAAATCCAATTAAAAGATGGGAAAAATGAACTGAACAGACAATTCTCCAAGGAAGACGTACGAAACAGCCAAAAGGAATATGAAAACATGTTCAACATCTCTTGTCACAAGGGAAATGCAAATCAAAACCACAGTGAGATACATTCACCCCCAGTCAGAATGGCTAAAAAAAAAAAAAAAAAAAGAAATAATTAGAAGTGCTGGAGGGGCTGTGGTGAAGAGAGAAGCCTTCTGCATTGTTGGTGGGAATGTAAATTAGTACAACCACTTTGGAGAATGATATGGATATATATATATATACTTATGGTGTGTGTGTGTAAAACTTT